GATTTTCAAGATTTCCCCCTCTGTGTTTATTTTGGATTTCATTTTTCTATTTTAAAAAATGGCATATGCCATTAATGCTCCTTATTTTGTGAATGTTACTTTTCAGAGATAGTATTTTTCCTCTGAAGACAGCTTTAGTTGTGTCCCAGAAATTTCATTATATTGTCTCACTGTTTTCCACCCTTACATGGTTATCTTATTTATGATTTATTCTTTGGTTCATTCATTATTCATGATGTCATTGTTAAACCTCCATTTAGTTGTGTCTCATACTATTTTTGCCTTATGAACTTTAAAGGACTGCTTAGTATTTCAGCTTTTTCACATAAATGTGAAATGTACTCATGTACATGAAATTTTTGGAAAGATAGCATGTGGCAATGAGAAATATTCCAAGTCAGAAGATATCTAAGTTTTTTAGCTCTAAATTCTCCAGTTTGCCTCTAATATTGTTTCTGTATGTTTTGAGATGTATACCTCATCTACAGCAAATTGTTGATTTAATTTTCTTACACATTCTGCCTCTGCTTTATTTTCATGGAATTGTATTTTAACCCATTTACATTAAGGTTATGACTATTATTTTCCCACCTTTACTTACTTTCTATTCATTTTCACACCCCTCCTCTTTTAAGTTAGCATGTTGTCCTTATGCTGTACATAAGGTAAGTTTTGTTTACACTCAGTCAATAAGCATTTATTAAATGCCTAATACACACCAGGCACCACTGCTAAACTCTAGGGACATAAAAAGAGGCAAAGGCAATCTCTGCACTCAAGGAGTTCACAATCTAATCAGGGAGACAATAAGCAAACAAAAAGGTACAAACAGGCTAATATGCAGGATAGATAGGAAATAATTAAAAGAGGGAAGGCACTAGCACTAAGAGAGACTGGGAAAGGCTTCCAGTGGAAAGTAAGATTTTAGTTGGGACTTTAAGAAAGCCAGAGTAGCCAGGAGGCAAAGATGAGGAAGGGAGAGAACATGCAGGGCACCCAGAGAAATGAGGAGATGAGATGAGAGATAAAGCTTCTTGTTCATGGGACAGTAAGGAGGCCAGTATCACTGGATCAAAGACATGTAAGATGTAAGAAAAATAGGGCAAGGGGAGTGGGCATAAGGTCATGAAGAGTTCTGAATACCAGAGAATTTGTTATTTGATCATGGAGGTAACAGACCCATTGGGGTTCACTGAGTGTGAGGATAACATGGTTGGACCAGTGCGCTTTATACCTGCACTTTAGGATAACTACTTTGATGCTAGTCTATTCCCACTGAGTCTAATTCTCCCCTTTACACTCATCCTATTCCGAGTTCATTAACTTTACTTAAAAATTTGTAACTTCCCTAAATTTGTACAGGTTTCACTATGACCCTTCTCTTTCCCTGCCCAACTAAAGCACGTGATTCAAAATCTTCCCTCTTCCTCCCCTCTTAGTATAATTTTATTTTTCAGCATCCATTTCCAAATTTTCCTTTGCTTTTTCCTTTTCCTTTCTCTTCCCTTCTAATAGATTCTGAATTCTATCCTCTAATTCATATACTCTCACTAGAACCTTCTTTTTTATTCTATGTCCCTCATGAGGAGAGTTTCTGGAGTACTTTTCTATGCAATTTCTCTGCCATTGCATTTGTCAGTCTTAACACAATTCTTATTCTGGTGTGTATCACTCATAAAAATATTGCTTCATTTATAATGTATTCTTAAAAACAAGCTTTACATAATACTGAGACAGTTTCACATACAGTCCTTCTTTTCTGTTCTATGCTCTACATGAAAATGTTCAATTTTTTTTTTGTTCTTGTGAAATTTGGGGGCGAGGGGGGGAATCTATTCATGAAGGAAGCAATGTCAAATAGAAGCTGCATAATGCAGTAAAGTTACTTCATCCCACCAAGTCATGAGGCCCAGTCCCACTTCCTTCCTTAGAGACCACAATCATTTATCCTAATGCCAAGGTGTAATGCTAGCTTTATTCCCTCCTACTGCTCTGGAGATTCAAACACTTCTCCTGGAGTAGAATACAGCACTGGAAGATTTCATCTTTTCTCAGAGAAGATAGTCTCCTAAGGTATAAATTCCCCTCAGATAAAACTAACATATAGCCCACCCCTTACAAAAAACATACATCGCCCCCTCTGGCCCCATCGGTTTCTACCCATAGTATCCTCTCCTATCACTGGGGACAAGACATCCTTTTTTTTTCCTTCAGAAAAGTTATTCATCTCTACTACTTCTGTTGAAATTAAAGAAATTACTACTATCCCTTTATTTTCTTTCTTTTTTATTATTTCTTTTTTTGATTTGGTTAGGCAATGGGGTTAAGTGACTTGCCCAGCTAGGAAGTGTTATGTGTCTGAGGCTGCATTTGAACTCAGGTCCTCCTGAATCCAGGGCCAGTGCTCTATCCACTGCGCCACCTAGCTGCCTCTCCTTTATTTCCACTTATCACAATGTCTACCTCTACCAATTTCCACAAACGACACTGATTCACTTATAGAAAATGAAAAGATTTATTCCATGAAGTACTGATTCGGTCTTTCTTGCTTTTCTTCTTTTTGTTACAGCTCCCTAACATCTTTCACCTCTTAGACTCTTTGTCATATGATAATGCCTCTTTATTCTTTTGTTTATTCTTGAACATTTTTATCTGTTCTAAAATAATATCAACATTAGATAACTGATTTCCTTATGTGTCTTTTCCTGATAATTATACTTCTCTACCTTGCTTGTTTCTGTTCTTTGTGGAGTTGAAAGTCACATATTCTGTACACTCAGTTTACTTGGTTTCTTTTGAGGTAATTCCTTAAACACTTTTTTCTTGTTGAATGTCCATCTTTTTTCATTTTTTCAATGATGATTAGGGTCAGCATGGTAGAACGTGTTATTTTGGGCTGCATTTTAACCTTTTTTAATATTCCATCCCTTCTGAGGCATAATCCTGGGCTATTCAAACTGGTATATCTCATACTTGTTAAAGTCTTTCTCCTCCAAATTTTATTCTTGAAATTTTAACATCACTATCTACAATCATGAAGATTTTCTCTGGCAGCAACCTGAAGGTCTCATCAATCAAAGCAATGTTGTCTGTATTCAAAAGTTCTAGGCAGTTTTCATGTATTTTTTCCTTCAGGTTTTTGATCTATTATGTTCTTCTGAGAGATTTATAATACTTATATTATCTCTATCATTCTGCTTGCAAGGTCAGTCATTATTTGTACAGAATTCTTGTTTCTTCTTAAAACTGCTTTCTTTTGCTTCTCTTCTGCCAATTGTTTTCCACTTTTGTGTTTTGTGTCACAAATCTTTTATTCTCTCTCAGAGCTATTTATTTGTCTTCTGAATTATTCTTTATTTCTTACTGCTGCTCAATGATCTCTGGGGTGTTTGCAGAAGTCTTCTTTTGATTAGGGAATTTTAGTCATTTCCCTTTAAAGTAGACTACTTGTGCATAGTGTTCTGGCTTATCTTTACATTTTGCTACTTTTCCCTTGTGTTTCTATGAAACTCTGCTTATCTGCTTCAAGTTAAGGTTTTATTTGGGTGTTTTGCCGTGGCTATTCAGTCTTTTAGACTCTCATTTTACCAACTGCTTATGGTTTACCTCTTCAGTCTTTGGTGCACTCCTACAGAGACCCTCTAGGCTACATAAATACTCCTCATCCTCCTTGTGTTTTGAGGGGTTAAGAGGACCTGGTCTTGGTCCATGCCGAGAGTGAAGAGGACTAGTCTTGTGGGCATTATCAGTATGCTCTCCTTCAAGCATGAAAACTCTTTTCCCGTCTCTGGCTTTGCCTTTGTCTTCCACCTCTCTCCCCAACTCCAAATGCTCTCCCTTTTCTTTGGATATGTGGGAAAAGTCAGTGTCTGCCACTTCTTGTGGTGTAGGAGTTTCGGGCTGAATTATTATTGAGGGGTGTGAGGGGGTGTAAAGAGAACGCATTACTCCAGGTATGTATAGTGAGCTGGAGGGGAACTGAGAGTAATCTCTTAAGTATTAAATTCTCCAATGTTATTTAATGGGTTTTTGTTTTTTTTAACCTCGAGCAGTGTTCCTGCTTTATCTGATGGAGTGAACTTATGCTACTCTATATCTGAAGCATAATTTCTTATCCTGAAGGCTTCTAGGTTGCAGAAGTTTTGAGGGGATTTGACTAGAGGAGTTCTAAGATGTTTTCTAACTCCTGTGATCCTTAATCATAACTTCTCTGTAATTCAATTCAACAGGCATTTATTGAGTGCTTATTAAATGCAAGGCACTATGCTAGGAAGTAAGGATACAAAACCAAAAATAAACAGTACTAATCCTCAAGTGGTTAGCATTCTACCAAATATAATCATTTGATACATATTCTGTTCCCTAACTAGCTGTCATTATACAAACCAGTACAATTTAATGTGTACAATATACAGTGAAGTGTACTGCTGGTGAAATGAAGGTAACTATGAATGTAGCAAAACGTTTTACTGTTTAATAATTATAGATTAATAAAGATGAAAAAGCTCTCCAGATTAATTAGGGCTAGATGGAACTAAATCTATTTTAGCAAAAAATAATTCTTAAAGATTTGAGAAAAGGTTATCTTTTATACTTCCTGTTATTTGAGGAGGGGTGGCTTCATTTGGTGTACACATTTTCTGTAATGATTACAGCTCAGCTTTCACTATATCTAAGAAAGGAAACATCAAACCTGCTGGAATTATTTCATTATGCAAAAGTTCTCAAAGGTAATTTTATTTCATATATTCCCTAGTCATCATGTAAATATAGCAGTTACTTTTCTAGTCTCTCTCTGTCTTTTAGCTATCCTCAGCTGAAAATCTAACAATAATCTAATTGTCTCCTGAGTTAGTAGTTTTGTAAAGACAACATTGCTATTAAAGGTCTAATTACTGTATCAATTCTATCCCCACCCCTCTGGGGGAAAAAAAACCCAACTGGAGATATTTAATTTTAAATACACTGGACCTTAATTTTAAAACTGAATTTTAACTTACCTCACCAAATGCACCTCTTCCAATTACTTTAATTATTTCAAAGTCATCTCGATGAAGCTGCATTTCCTTCACCAGCTGTGTAAATGGCTTTGCTACAAACAAAAATGTAAAATTAAAACTTAAACCAGTTTATCTGAAAATATTAACTCTATATTTAAAAAAAAAGGTAGCTGATAACAACTGATTAAGTTTTATTTATTTAGCACTGTGGAGAAAGACAAATTAATTTACAAATTTCTAAGTTGTTATTTAGCTCAAATAGCCCCATAATACCTCTATGTAGAAAAAATCTCCAAACCCTGAGTGACAATCCAATAAAAGATAAAATCTACTGCAATAAGGCTAGACAGTTTATAGTAATAGAATCTAGTTAGAATTATTGTTGAGATGAGCATTGATGCCATACTTCATCAGATCAGTGTTCCTTCTGTAGTCAAGTATATGACAAATGCAAGAAAGGAATACGCTAGCCAGTAGGTGCCCTTCAACAATGATGCTCTCAAAAGATGAATAAGGATGGCTAATGATTAAAAAGAGAGGTCCCATAGTCATCAAAATTCATAAAACAATACTTTGTATAGCAAAGAGCTAGAAACAAAGTACATGTTCTATCTATTTTGCTTTGTTTTACATGAGGAAATTAAGGCTGGCATAGTGGACAGAATGATGAAAATAGAAACGGGTTTAAATCCTGCTTCAGACACTAGCTGTATAACCCAGAGCAAGTCATTTAATCTGTCTATACTTCAGCTTCCTCATTGTAAAAAGAGGGAACATTAGAGGCCACAAACATTTCATTTTAGCTCTAAATATAGAATTCTATGATTCCAGAACTTTCTAAGCTTACACAGATAGTATGAGTACTGAAAAGATTTCACTATACCACCTGTCTCAACAATATCATTGCTATTCTACTAGTGAGTGTTAACAATTTACAAAGTTACAAAGTGATAATTGTATAATTGTTACTAGTCAAATAAACTGACCAGTATATGAAGGCTTTATCCACAAAATGGAGTCCAGGGTTTTCTCTTCTACTGTTACAAGCCAGGTTTCTGTTTCCAAATGAACAAGGGGCTAAGTACAGAAGAAAATTCACTGACTTCGTATCAAAATGAAAGCATTAAAATCCCAGCTCTGTCATTCACTCCCTGTGGTACCTTGGCCAAGCCACTTAAGCTCTCTAGGCCTCAATTTTCTCATAAGAGGACAGACAAGATGATTCACAAAGTCCTTTACAACTCTAAATTCTGTGATCAGTGTCCTAATGCACCAAAAGGTCTCACCTCACTGATAAGTTATCCAGAGGGCCACTTGGACTCTTTGAATATATACCCCCAGTACCCAGCACAGAACCTGGCCAGGCCCTGAATAAATATTTGTTCACTGGTTGATTGTTTAGTTAAATAACTAACAGGTCTGCTGGTACACAGGAGGGAGGTGAGTAAAAGTAAAGAGGCATGGGGGGAGGGGGATAAAGGACAGATAATTGGAATGAAGGTAATATAGATACAAAACATATCAACAGAAAAAAAAAATGTAAGAGGTATGGGAACAGTGGCTTTCAATGGGGGAAGGAAATCAATCCACCCACAGGGCTTCTATTTTTCTTACTTAACTCCCTCATTACCTTTGAAGACATTAAAGTTCTGGCTAGACATTTGTTTCTTTTCTCCCTAGTAAAATATTAGCATATTCTAATAGAGCTACATCATTATGTAGTTTCATCCACCTGATAAAATAAATTTACTGTAGATTTTTCTTGCCTCATCTCTTAATATTTCAAAGTTCCTACTCAACTCTGGCCTTTTCATTAGAAATGCTTGAAAGTCCTCTATGCCATTCAAGATTCATTTTTTCCCCGTGAGATGATACTCAGCTTTGCAAGGTAAGTTATTCTCGGGTGTAATAAGACTATGTCTTATTTTGCCTTTTGGAATGTTGTATTCCAAGATCTCTCATTTATGGCAGAAACTGCTAGGTCTCCTGTAATTTTGATTGTGGTTCCTTGACCTACTTCTTTCTCAATGCTTGCAATATCTTTTCCTTCTCAATTTTCCCTTTTGTGGTTTCTTTCAGGAAACAATCAGTGAATTCTTTCCTAATTTTTCTATTACTGTTTGAGGTACCTCATCACCAGCCTAGGTATTTTCCTCTATTCCTCACTCTCTCACCCCATATCCAACCTGTTGCCAAGTCCTATTATCATTTCTTAAATAAATTTCCATCTTTCTCACACTATCACTACCCTGGTGCAGGGCTCCATCAAGTCATACCTACAATACTGCAAAAGCCTTCTGGTTGGTCTCCCTTTCCTCACTCAAGCCTTTCCTTACTCCAGTCCATTCTCCATTCAGTTTTCAAATTAATCATCCTAAAGCTCAGGTCTGATCAAGTCACGCTCTCTTTCCCCTATTCAATAAATTCAAGTGGTGTCCCATTTTCACCAGAATTATATATAAAGTCTTCTGTTGGATGTTTAAAGCCCTTCATCACCTCTTTCCTTCCTATCTTTCCAAATTTCTTACATCTTATATCCCACTCACCCTTCTCCACATACAGTAATACAACCTCCTTGCTGTTCGAGACACTAATCTCCAAGCATTTTCATTAGCTGTCTCCCATGACAGAAATTCTCTCCCTCTTCATCTCCACTTCTTGCCTTTCTTCAAATCCCAGATAAAATTCCATCTTCTACAAAAATCTTTTCCAATGTTCTTAATGCTAGTACCTTTCCTCTGTAATTATCTACAATTTATCCTGTACATGTCTTGTTTGCAACATTTGTTTGCATTACACTGTGAGCTCCCTGAGGGCATGAACTTCTTTTTGCCTTTCTTTTTACCTCCTCCCTTCCAGCTTAATGTAGTAGGAATTAAAACACTAGGTGAACGGCAGGAGCCTAATATATAGAGAGTGCTTAGCGTACTGCCTGGCACATATATGGCACTTAATAAATGCTTAATCTCTACCTCTTATTCAGGTAGCCATCTTGGCCAAAAGTCCTATGCTATCAATTAAATTTTTAAATTATTAGAATATATATAACTTTGTGAAAACCTTACTACCTATTATGAAGCTATAAAAATAATAGAAATGATGGATTTAAAGTACAAACTGAAACCTTTTGAGGGGACATGGACACTGTGGGAGTTTCTTGTAACTATACATACTTATTATAAGGGTTTTGTTTTGATTTCTTTTTTTTCCCGATGGGGAAATGAACTAGATTCACTAATTTCTTTAATTACTTTAAAAATAAAAGACTCCTACTAGAAAAAACTATTCAGTACTCAGTTGATTCCATTTCTCACGTTTCAGTCTTTTGGAAACTAGCTTCCAAATTCATCACTCAATTGAAATTGCTCTTTCCAGATTAATTCTCAAAATCACAAATTTTAATTCTCACCACTCTTGACCTGTCTGCAGCATTTAATTTTTCTTTGCTGTAGAAGCTCTGGATTTCAGCAATGACATCAATGGAAGTTTTCATTTTGAGATGACCAATAGATCCTTTCTAGTTTCCCTTTGTTCTCTGGTTATAATAGATCTTTTCATTTATAACTTCTTGAAATGTGGGGTCCAGGCTTTGTTTTACAAAATGATTTCAGGTAGTCAGATGATTCTTGGATAATTTCTCCTTGAGCTATTTTCCAAGTGAGAACTGGCTTTTATATTATATGCCTTAAATTTTCTTCTATTTTTCCAATCATTTGATTTTAAAACATCCTTCTATCTCATTAAGTCAGTGCTTTCTGTATGGCCTATTCTAATTTTCAGGGAATCTAATTCTTGAGTAAGGTTTACCATCTTCCAACTTATTAATTCTTCTCATAATTTTCTCCCTAGATCTCATTTCATTTAACATTACATTTTGTAATCATGCTTCATTCCTTCCAAATACTCTTGAAGTCCCTGAGGCCAGGTCAATTTTTTTTTTCCTGTGAAGCTCTAGTTGAACATGTAGAATAGAATATTCCTTTATTCTGGATTTAAAACTCGGCCTTCACTCTATCCAAATAATTTCCTCATATTGTTTGGCATTTTCCTCTATTATACTCATGACTTTAGCCTCAGTTTCTGAACTACAGCTCTGTGCTTGGGTCAAACTCAGCTCCTTCCTATAGGATGATGTGGGTGAGGTCCTTTCTTGGACTTGGATGTGGTCCCAAGACTAGGCCCTATGCAATGTGAGGATTCCTTGGTTTGAGCTCAGTGTCCTGGCAACAGGACAGTTTTTGCACTTGGGCACTTCTTCCTCTACTCCTGAAAGTCTCAAACTTGATGCTCTCAACTATGCTAGAAGCGGCCTCCTGTAACATCCAAGACTCTACTCTCACCTTTTCTCCTCTTGTGGTTAAGACACAGTCTGTTTGAGCAATGTGCTTCCTGGATGCTGGTCTAGCTGTTCTTAACACTTAACATTTCATCTTTCATCCCTTAATCTCTCCCCAATGAACTTTTTCATCACCTCTACCCTTTAGAATCCCTAGCATCCTTCAAAGCTCAGCTCAAATTCCACCTCTTACATGAGGACTTTTCTGACTCTGGACTCATGTTAGTACTATCCCTTCACTGATGTAACATTTATTTTGTATATGTTCATATATGTACATGCCCTGCTTCTGACACTTTGACATATAGTGGCTGTGTAACTCCTGGCAAGTCATTTATTAACCTCTCAGTGCTCCCCAAGCAACCTTCTAAGATTATAAATTTCAAGTCAGGTGCCAATCAGCATGGGTAGAGGGAAATCCTCACTAGAAGCTTTAATTACTGTTGACATCTTGTATCTGGCAACTGAATATAAGCTCCTTGAAAACAAGGGCTGTTTTGGCTTTTGTCTTTGTATCCTCAAAGCCTAGCAGAGTGACTGGCAATGCAGACTTTTAATAACTGCTCATTGGTCAATTGATTCATTACACTTCCCTAATCAAGGAATTATGATTTTGCCAATATATACTTTAGCAGATGAGATGATCTTTTTGAGCTGCTATGGCAGAAAAATTCATCATCCTGTGACTAATACAGTGATAGGCCTCCCCAAACTTAGCCTGGCTAATCCACAGAAGACAAAAATAGAATTTGCTGA